CAACCCCTCTCAGCCCCTCTCAGCCCTCTCAACCCCTCTCAAATCAGCTGAACGCTGTCTGGAATGGCCTGCACACTCCCTTGCCCAACCCCCGGCCCAAAACCCCAACCCCCACAGCGCCCCACCTGCAGCTCGTCCCGCGCCTCGGCCACCTCCACGATGGTCGCGCGCAGGCGGCCCGCCGCCTCCGCACACGCCGCCTCAGCGCGCGCGGCGCGGTGCTCCACCTGTGCGCGCTCCACCGCCAGCTCCACTGCCGCTCGCTCCTGCGCCTCCTCAGCCTCCTCCAGCGCCTGAGGTGTGCAGCGGCAGGAGTGGGCGGCAACGGAGGGGAACATTGGTCGGCTGGAGGGATGTGGCCACATGGGAGACTCACAGGCTGAGCAGCTGCGTGAATGACACCGTGTGGCTCTGGCCGGCGTCGCGCATCCCACACTCAGCACACAAACCGCTCAATTGCAATACAAAGTCAAAGCCGCACCCGACCTGCAATGCGCTCCATTCCTAGGTGCTGCCCAACCCACCTTCGTGCGCCTGCTCATCCGCGCCTCGCCCGTCCGCACCGCAGCCTCTCGCGCCCCCAGCTTGGCGCTGCGCCGCCTGGAAGAGGCCTCCACCCGCACCGCCCTGGAGCGCGCGGCCTCGGCCTCCTGCGGTGTGTTCGGGTTGGGGTCGACGAATTCAGTGTGGTTGGTTGAGTTTTGGAGGGCCAGCGGTGTGTGCCATGGCTGGAGTGTGCATGTCGCTGAGCTTCCGCACTGGCTGGATTTGAATGCGCCGATGCTTTGGCCTGCTGTAGGACCCCTTGCCACCCTTTCATAGCGGCTGCGCAGTCGGCTAGCCTGTTTGGTGCCACAACCCTTGCGAGGCGCAACAAGTGCAGTGCGCGTTGGTTTGCACCCCCCTCCAATACAATGACCGCACGCGCGCGCACACACACACACACACACACTCTCTCTCTCTCTCTCACACACACACACACACGCAGACAAACACACTTACAATTGTTGTGGCTTCACGCACTCCCACCCATCCACGCACCTGGTGCACCGCCGCCGCCTGAGCCTGGGCGGCGGCGATGAGCTCACGCGCCTCTTGGGCGCGGATCTTGGAGAAGGCCGTCTCGACGACAGCCTTCACGGCGTGGCGCCTGCAATCCTCCTCCTCCAACACTTGCCAAGCCTTCTCCAGATCCTGCGGCAAGGCGAGAGGCCAGCAGGGCCATGTTACAGTGGGGGGGTGAGAGCTGCAGAGGAGAGGGAGGTTCGAATCCGCGCATCCTTCCGGGGCTCGATCAGCTCTTCACAGGCGGTGCTGATGCTGGCGAATCAGGCTGACTAAAATACATGCAGCGCCCGTACCCGTCCCTCGGCCATCGGGAGGACAGCACCAGTTTGCCCCCCTATCAAACCTGTGTACGATGTTGCTAAGAATAACCATACCACACCCTCAACTTTGCCCCATTCCCCAGCAGACAAAAGACACCAGCAAAGGCGCGCACGCATGCATCTCCGCACGCAGGCGCGTACACGCGCAACGCCCTCACCTGCTCTGTGGCCTGGAGGGCCGCGTCATAGGCCTCCAGCCGTGCCTCGCGTCGCTCCAGGGCCGCCGCCTCCACCTTGCGCGCCTGAGGTGGATCGGCCAAGGCCGCAGCAAGTGAAGAATCAAGTCGACAGGTGAGATCAAGCAGCGCGGAGTGCTGCAGGCAGCCCAGCGCGGTGTGCAGTCGCACGCAAGAGTGCACTGATGCAACCGGACATGATATCGGACACCCGCATCTGCGCCCCCGCCACCACGCCTGCCTAAACCCTCCGCCGCACGCACCCTGTTGCTTTTTGCCAACCACATGCTGGCGGCAGCTGCTGCCGCGCAGGTCAGCACGGGGCCAGCGTTGCGCGCCAGGTTGCCGCCCACTGCGGCCAACGGCGCGAGACGCCCGCGCGTCCCGCCGCCGCCCACCATCCCGCAACAACAACGCCCTAGTCAGCCTGCGAGGATACAGCGTGCGCGGCACCTCAGATGGGCACTCGCGGGTTGTAATGCACGCCCTGAGCCTGCGACTTACACAAACGACCGTGCACGTGATAGCAGTTTTTAGGTTCGTGGGTGAGCATACTGCTGCGCGCCCCTTGCCCGCGCCCGCCTGAGCGCGGTGCGCCCCTGCGCGCCTGCAAACGTGGATGTCACGCTGTTCGAAGACCAGAAAATCCCACTGCAAGCCGAGCGGGTCGGGGCAGCAGAGCTGGTCAAGGCTCGAGGCGACCGTCGCCGGTAGCTCGAGAACAACACAAGGGAAATTAAAGATGTTTTGAAACACTGAAAAAGGCTGGGCGAACACGAGAGACAATCGACGAGGCCTAGAGAAGGCGAGGGCACAGCCAATATGGAATGTCGCCTGTTGTCGCTCCTGCCTATCCCGCTCCCGGTCCCTGCGTTGTGATTGATGATGAACGAGCAGGTACGTTGTTACCAGAGACAGGCTGGCAGCTGGTGCGGAGATGCGCGGGGGCGCCGCTGCGATGGCACACTGTGTGTGCCTGCTGGTGTCGCGACGGCCGCACTGCTGACAAGCCGCTGCAAAGAGACACACGTCAAAACTAACATGGCACAGCCAGATGGGTCAAGTGACTGTGGCACCCCTCCATGGTTGCGAATCAAGCAGCGTGCTGGGGCGCAAGGGGCGCTCTCCACCACATCACCACCTGCAGCCAGCTCGAGCTGCTTTAAGTTCAGCCCATCCCCTCCCCATCCTCACCTGCCGCACACGCCACACTGCAAGGATCCCTCTCAGGCGCCATGCCGTCGCAGCATGCGTCCGTGGAGTGCCCGCATCGCCCAGTCCTTGGGACCATGCGAGAGTTCCCGCCGTCCTGCGTCTCGCCGGGGTCTGGTTGCCAGTGGCCACTGAAGCTGGCTGAAAGGGTGGCGATTCTGATCTATACGCTACTAGCCATACGCTGCGGCGGAAGCGCGAGTACTGAGGAAGTGCTGCGCCTTTGGTGCTGAAGCGAAGTGCGGCACTCCGGCCACGCGCATTGCTGTGTGAGCTGCCGCGAGAGGCAGAAGCGGTCTCATAGCACCAACACGGGTTAGAACACCGACCACTAGCGCCGAAATCACGTGCGTGAAATGACAGACTCGGCTGAGATCGCAGCACAACTGAAGGGCGGGTCGATGGGTTGAGTGGATTGCGGACGTGATTGATGCATGAAGTACCTCGTTTTGGTTATAACAGATGCAACAGCGCTTCAATACGTGCACAGAAGCGACTTCAAGAGGCAACAGACTTGCTTACTACACCTGCACACACTACCTAGCAGCAAGGTCTAGCCGACAGGGGGCACAGCGCCACGCAGGGGTTCCGCCACAACAGAAGCCACACGCAGCAGCCGTCGTCATGCGGCCTGCAGGTATTGCGATTGAGGGCCCGATCCAGCCCGTGCGGAGAGGGGCGGCGCACACGCTCGAGGCGACGCAGAATGGCCCCCCCCTTTGTTGTGCTGGGGTAGCGCCGCGCCGCAGGTAGTGCGGAGGCGAGGCTCTGGAGGCTGCAAGCCCGCCCAGACTGCGGTCCTGCCTGTTCCCCATAACTACGCACACAGATGCTTTAAAGCGCCCTACTTGCTTGAGGGACACGCCTCCATGCTCCTGTAGCTTGGCTTGACCATGTCGCAGTCGCGATGGAGGAGTGGGGCATCGACGCCACTA